TGCGCAGGCTGCTTTTTGGCACCAACCCCATGAAAAAAAAATTTTTTTTATTTTTTTTTTATAAATGAAATTTTTTTATGGATATTTTTTTTATGAATATTTTTTTTATTGTATAAAATCACGTCGGTCAAAAGTTGACTGCATTGTGTTATCTATATTATTTATATATATACAATTTTTTTTTTTTTTAATTTCAAATCAATTACTTTTAATACTATTTTTTTAATCGTAAAATACATCCTTTTTCAAAACAGCGAGATAAAAAATTTAACAACGCGATATTGAATTTAAAGCGACCTTTGAATTGTTCAAGTTTATTCAGGGACCTTTTACTGTAAATTTTGAATGAAAATTGCTCTGAGTTGGTGAATTAAAAAAACTTTGTGTTCTGTCAATGCGGCAATACAGTTTCAGCTAAAAGTAATTATAATAATAATAATATGACCGAGTAGTTTACTTAAATACTGTATTTGTTTCATTGTTAGCTACATCATTCTTTTATTTTCAACTATCACGCCAATTTTAATCACAAAATTACATGTTAAATAACGTGATTTGGAATTAAAAAAAAATATTTAGAAGTTCTCAAGGGACTGGTGCCAACAACCAGAATGCGCATATAGACATGCATGTTCCTTGAATTGTATTGCATGCCAAAGCCACCAACGGCATTCCTACACCTGCTGTTACTGTCCCTACAATAATTACAATAATAATATATAAATGGATAAATAATATAAGTTGTGTATAAAGATTAGCTAAACTTACCGGCCGTGAGACCACCGACCCAGTAACAATTTACCCAGATTGTGTTACAACCGGTCTGACAAGTGGCATATGAAATAAGACCGGCATCGATATTGTTAATATTAATAATTAAAAAAAAAATGATAAAAATTAAAAAAATCATGTGTATGTCACATCTCCAATTATTAATTTAAAAACCGAAACTAAACCGAAATTGAACTGAAAATTTTCGAATTGGTTTTTTAAAAACTGAAACCAAACCAAACCAAAACCGAACCATTCGGAGCTTTACTCTTGGTGAGCATTATAATGTAAACCATCTCTAAATGATGACAAGCGCCACACAAGTCAGTCCTGGGACTCATAATTTGAATTTCTGGTGTCAATTGATGTCATAATTTTCTGAAAGCATCATATTTTAAAGATTTCAAACTACTATCTTCTTACAGACCAGCTAGAAAATCTCTGTGCACAGATTTATAACTCATTTCAGCTGGTAAAAATGTAACTGATTGAATTATTCTATTGTTACTTCTTCCTGGACTTGGTAATCCATGGACTTCTGCATAATTTTCCAGAAAAATC